AAATTCTCTTTTTATAGAAAATTTTCGAGAAAATTCTCTTTTTATAGAAAATTTTCGAGAAAATTCTCTTTTTATAGAAAATTTTCGAGAAAATTCTCTTTTTATAGAAAATTTTCGAGAAAATTCTCTTTTTATAGAAAATTTTCGAGAAAATTCTCTTTTTTATAGAAAATTTTCGAGAAAATTCTCTTTTTTATAGAAAATTTTCGAGAAAATTCTCTTTTTTATAGAAAATTTTCGAGAAAATTCTCTTTTTTATAGAAAATTTTCGAGAAAATTCTCTTTTTTATAGAAAATTTTCGAGAAAATTCTCTTTTTTATAGAAAATTTTCGAGAAAATTCTCTTTTTATAGAAGATTTTCGAGAAAATTCTCTTTTTTATAGAAGATTTTCGAGAAAATTCTCTTTTTTATAGAAGATTTTCGAGAAAATTCTCTTTTTTATAGAAGATTTTCGAGAAAATTCTCTTTTTATAGAAGATTTTCCAGAAAATTCTCTTTTTTATAGAAGATTTTCGAGAAAATTCTCTTTTTTATAGAAAATTTTCGAGAAAATTCTCTTTTTTATAGAAGATTTTCGAGAAAATTCTCTTTTTTATAGAAGATTTTCGAGAAAATTCTCTTTTTATAGAAGATTTTCGAGAAAATTCTCTTTTTTATAGAAGATTTTCGAGAAAATTCTCTTTTTTATAGAAGATTTTCGAGAAAATTCTCTTTTTTATAGAAGATTTTCGAGAAAATTCTCTTTTTTATAGAAAATTTTCGAGAAAATTCTCTTTTTTATAGAAAATTTTCGAGAAAATTCTCTTTTTATAGAAAATTTTCGAGAAAATTCTCTTTTTATAGAAAATTTTCGTGAAAATTCTCTTTTTATAGAAAATTTTCGTGAAAATTCTCTTTTATAGAAAATTTTCGTGAAAATTCTCTTTTTATAGAAAATTTTCGTGAAAATTCTCTTTTTATAGAAAATTTTCGTGAAAATTTTCTTTTTATAGAAAATTTTCGTGAAAATTCTCTTTTTATAGAAAATTTTCGTGAAAATTTTCTTTTTATAGAAAATTTTCGTGAAAATTCTCTTTTTATAGAAAATTTTCGTGAAAATTCTCTTTTTATAGAAAATTTTCGTGAAAATTCTCTTTTTATAGAAAATTTTCGTGAAAATTTTCTTTTTATAGAAAATTTTCGTGAAAATTCTCTTTTTATAGAAAATTTTCGTGAAAATTCTCTTTTTATAGAAAATTTTCGTGAAAATTCTCTTTTTATAGAAAATTTTCGTGAAAATTCTCTTTTTATAGAAAATTTTCGTGAAAATTCTCTTTTGATAGAAAATTTTTTTTTTAAATTTTCTTTTTCTGTAGAAAATTTTCGAAGAATTTTCTTTCAATAAACAATTGTTTGTGACAATTATGTACACATACTTTTGACTTATGTATGTATGTGACAAAAACAACAACTAAGCTTCTTAAAGATAAAAAACAATCTCTTTAGCACTCACACTCAATCATTGACTGACAAAACCAAACATTTTGATTCTATTACTTCTATTGAATATAAGTAGTTAAAGCATATATTGCTACAAACAAAAAATTTCATTAATTTGACAATAACAGCCAAATATTGTTTAGAAAACAAACATGACATAACAAGGACTTCACACAAAAAGACAATACACAAACACTCTCAGACGCTCATACACATGGGTTAAATATAATAATAACAAGACCTTATTGTGGAGAATAAGGCAACATTAACAAAAGAAAAAGAAACATACAATTTCAATAATGTGCTTTCTTTGCAGACATGAGCATTATTTATAAATATTAGTGCATGTATACTTTAGCAAAATCAATTTTAATCAAGTACTAGTGTACTAGTTGCCCATTACTGTGTTTTCTCTACTAAAGCAAATATGCATTAACATAAGTTTGTTATAAGAAGGCAGTCTGCCATTAGCTTGAAAACAAATATTTCCATATTCTTTGACACTTCAAATGACATACAATTTATGATGAAGGCCATACCGAAATGATTTGAAATATTGACAACTAAATAAAGGTCGTTACTTTCATAGAGAGACAAATATATAGAATGTTTTAATGTTTTGTTGTCTGGACAACAATGTCATTTGATCAAGAGCATGAAGTCATGTGTCGGATGTTAAAAAAAATCAGCTTTTAAGAGAAACTTGTTAGATTAATTGATTAACAAAGGGAAAGAAAAATAAAACAAAATTTTCTCAAATATAACAATAGACGTTTTAGCAAACAACGACTCTACTCTTCTAAGACTTTTTTAGATTTGAAGAAAGTTCCTCAACTTCTCTTTTTTAGAAAATTTTAAAAAAACTCTTTTTTTATAGAAAATTTTTGAAAAATTCTCTTTTTATAGGAAATTTTTGAAAAATTCTCTCTTCATAGAAAATTTTTGAAAAATTCTCTTTTCATAGAAAATTTTTGAAAAATTCTCTTTTCATAGAAAATTTTTGAAAAGTTCTCTTTTCATAGAAAATTTTTGAAAAGTTCTCTTTTCATAGAAGATTTTTAAAAAATTCTCCTTTTATAGAAAATTTTTGAAAAATTCTCTTTTTATAGAAAATTTTTGAAAAATTCTCTTTTTATAGAAAATTTTTGAAAAATTCTTCTTTTTTAGAAAATTTTTGAAAAATTCTTTTTTATAGAAAATTTTTGAAAAATTCTCTTTTTATAGAAAATTTTTGAAAAATTCTCTTTTTATAGAAAATTTTTGAAAAATTCTCTTTTTATAGAAAATTTTTGAAAAATTCTCTTTTTATAGAAAATTTTTGAAAAATTCTCTTTTTATAGAAAATTTTTGAAAAATTCTCTTTTTATAGAAATCTTTTGAAAAATTCTCTTTTTATAGAAAATTTTTGAAAAATTCTCTTTTTATAGAAAATTTTTGAAAAATTCTCTTTTCATAGAAAATTTTTGAAAAATTCTCTTTTAAGAGAAAATTTTCGAAAAATTCTCATTTTATAGAAAATTTTTGAAAAGTTCTCTTTTTATAGAAAATTTTCGAAAAATTCTCTTTTATAAAAAATTTTATTGAAAAATTCTCTTTTTATTGAAAATTTTATTGAAAAATTCTCTTTTAATAGAAGATTTTTGAAAAATTCTCTTTTTATAGAAAATTTTTGAAAAATTCTCTTTTTATAGAAAAGTTTTGAAAAATTCTCTTTTAAGAGAAAATTTTCGAAAAATTCTCTTTTTATAGAATTTTTTTTTAATTCTCTTTTTATAGAAATTTTTTGAAAAATTCTCTTTTTATAGAAAATCTTTGTAAAATTCTCTTTTTATAGAAAATTTTTCGAAATGTCTCTTTAATATTTCAAAATTTCTTTATGAGATATTAAAATTTTTTCAAAATTTTCCAAAATTTTGTTTTTGATAGGAAAAATTCTCTTTTTATAGAAAAATTTACGAAAATTTCTTTTTTTTTTAGAAAATTTTTGTAAAATTCCTCTTTTTTTTAGAAAATTTCACTTTTTATAGAAAATTTTTGGAAAATTTCTCTTTTTACAGAACATTTTCGGAAAATTTCCCTTTTTATAGGAAACTTTCGGAAAATTTCTCTTTTTATAAAAAACTTTCTCTTTTTATAGAAAATTTTCGGAAAATTTCTCTTATAGGAAGTTTTCGAAAATTTCTCTTTTTATAGAAAATTTTCGGAAAATTTCTCTTTTTATGGAAAATTTTCGGAAAATGTTTCTTTTTATAGAAATATTTCGAAAAAATCTCTTTTGTTAGAAATATTTCGGATAATTTCTCTTTTTATGGAAAATTTTCGAAAAATTTCTCTTTTAATAGAAAAATTTCGGAAAATTTCTCTTTTAATAGAAATATTTCGGAGAATTTCTCATTTTATAGAAAATTTTCGTATAATTTCTCTTTTTATAGGAAATTTTCGAAGAATTTCTCATTTTAAGAACATTTTTGGAAAATTTTCCATTTTTATAGAACGTTTTCGGAAAAATTCTCTTTTTATAGAACCTTTTCGGAAAATTTCCTTTTTATATAGAATTTTCAGAAAATGTCTCTTTTTATAGACTTTTTTCGAAAGAATTCTTTTTTAAAGAAAAATTTACGAACATTTGCAGATTTAATTTGAGTTAAAATTAACCCTTTGATGTTCTGGGAGCCAACAGAAATTCCTTTTAATATAAAGCCCTACAAAAATTTGTTTTATTAAGAAATAATAATAATTTTATTTCTCTCAAATTATTAGGAAATACGTATGTATTCCTTATAATTCATATCAAATTTAATTAAATCAGATTTAAAACTACAAGTATCCTTTTATTATAAATTTACTATGGCAATTTACTCCGTTTACAAATCAACTCTGAAAAGATAGCAATAAAATAGAAATAACATTAAACTTTTATTGTACACTTAACTTTTTTCCTCATTTTTGCCAACATAGAATTTTATAAAAAAAAATTTTTCTTGTTCTAAAGACTTTTGAAAATAAATTGAACATTAATCAAAATAGGAAAAGAGGTACTTACTGATCACTTAGTAACGTTACTAAAGCATTTAAGACCAAATGATATTTTGAAAAAAAAGAAAACATTTCCAGCAAAACGTCCACCTTTCTAAAATGATACAATAAAATGGAAAAAAATAAATAAATTGGAGAGCAAAAACTGGAAACAGAAAATCATGAAAAAAATGTTACAATATAAAAAAGATAAAAAAGAACAAGAAATAACAACAATAACAAATAAATAAACAAAAATTTTTACAAAATATTGTTGTTCAACAAATTTTTCTTAAGATTACTACAACTCTATTAATCCTTAAAAATAGGAAATGAAATATATTTTATGAAACAAATTGCTAACATCTACTTTTTTTTTCTTTCTCTTTCTCTTCCCCCTTTACACACACACACGCACACATGTAAATCCTCAACAACCTGAACAAATGTTAAATAATGATGGTGATGTTATGTTATGGTGTGTGTATGTTCAAAAATAAATAGGAATCTTTAATGGGCAATTCAATGGGAGCATTGCGTAGCAGTTCACCAGGACCTAAAGGAGAGCCAGGCATTAAAGGTGAAATGGGCCGTAGTGGTGAAAGAGGTCAACCAGGACAAAAGGGTGAACGTGGTGATCCTGGCATGACGGGTGAAAAAGGTGATAGGGTAAGTATCATTAATATTAAACATACTACTTAGAGATTTGTAAATACAAATACATAAATTTTCCTTTGAATAACATATTTTGTGTATTTAAGAATGAATATAAATTAAAGATTTATACAACCACATACACACATACACATTGATAAGCATACATATATGGTACAAAAATCCATATTATACTACGTTGTTTGTTAGAAATTAAAACACCCACACAAATAAAGACAGTGGCAAATAAAAGTGGAGATTACTGTTATATAAAATGTTTGCTCTTTAATAAGTAAATTATCGATTTATCAGAAATTTTGATCGACACTGCACAACGGTTCTGGTTTTTCGAATTCACAAGTACCCCTACTCCATTTGGCTTTACTAATGTGTATATAAACAAACTCATACTTTGCTCAAGTACTCCATGATGATGATGTTGATGATTGTGTTGTATTATGTATAGTTGCGCGTGTGTATCCTCTATATACCACAATGTATTAAAGGGGGGTGTGTGTGAAAATAATTTCTGCTCTATTGATTACTTAATTGATTTGCAATAATAGATTTTGGGTTTAAGAATCAAAATTTCCGTTTTTTTTTTCTACTCTTTTGAAACACTAACACTACAACACACATGAACAAATATACAAACAAATTCTTACAATATGTTAAGTATATGCAAAAGGAGAGGGTGGTGTGAAGAGGGTTAACAAAATAAGTTTTCGAATTTCTTTTTTATTTTTGTTTTTTTTGTTCATTTGTTACCCAGGAGTATAGTTATTCACAAAAGCAAATAGTATCCTTGATATACTAAATCTATAAATGTATTTGTACATACTCATATACATACATGTTTGTATGTATGTATGTGCATCATTTGTATAACTTCTCGTTTCTTATTTTTTTTTTGCTTTTCTTGAAAGTCATGATTAGCCAATTTCTATGACTTGATGAAATCTTAAATCCCTTCATTATGTGTGTGTTTAGTTTAGTTTTATTTCATTTCATTTAGTATGTTATTCTTTGCTTTTTGTTGTTTATCTTTTATATATTGTTCATTTCATTACTCCTTCTTGTTTTCAAATGTCTGAATTTGAAGTTAAGTAGCATGATTTGTAAAAGTTTCTCTCTGTATAATATGTATGTTAATAAAATCATATGTATAAATTAGAGTTTTTTTTCTTTTTGTATTAGATTCTTTTACATTTGTACAAGTATTTGAAAGCTAGCTAAGTAATGTGTCATTATGATGTTTAAGTTTTAGATTATTATATATTGAAAAATGACTGCTTAATGAGGAAGAATAAACATTACTTTTCATTCGTTATGCGATGTAAGAAATAATAATGGAATTTTTTTTCATTAGGCCTTTGAAAGCTTAATCTGTGAAAATGTAAAGGAATAACGATTTCTTAACAATATAAGATAATAAATTAGTTTGAATAGATTCTTGCTAAAGCTACTTATATCATATTAAAGTTAAAAAGTCAACGGACTGCAGAATAAAAATTGTTCTATCGTGGAGACAAAATTCAATTCCATATTCGACATAAAAGATGACTGAACATAAGGACTACAAACTATTGTCCAGACTAATCTGTACTCTAGACTATTGTTCAGACTATAGACTATTCTATAGTCCAGACTATGGACTATTCTATAATCCAGACTAGAGACTATTCTATTGTCCAGACTAAAGGCTATTCTATAGTCCAGACTATAGACTATTCTTTAGTCCAGACTATAGACTATTCTATAGTCCAGACAGTAGACTATTCTATAGTCCAGACAGTAGACTATTCTATAGTCCAGAATACAGGCTATTCTATAGTCCAGAATATATACTATTCTATAGTCCAGACTATACTTAGATTATTCTTTAGTCCAGACTATAGACTATTTTATAGCCCAAACTGTAAACGATTCTATAGTCCAGGCTATATAATATTCTATAGTCCAGGCTATATACTATTCTATAGTCCAGGCTATAGACTATTCTTAGTCCAGACTATAGACTATTCTATAGTCCAGACTATAGACTATTCTATAGTCCAGACTATATACCATTCTATAGTCCAGACCATAGACTATTCTATAGTCCAGACCATAGACTATTCTGTAGGCCAGACTAAAGACTATATTGTAGTCCAGACTATAAACTATATTATAGTTCAGACTATAGACTATTTTATAGTTCAGACTATAGACTATTTTATAGTTCAGACTATATACTATTTTATAGTCCAGACTATAGACTATTCTATAGTCCAGACTATAGACTATTCTATAGTCCAGACTATAGACTATTCTATAGTCCAGACTATAGACTATTCCAGACTATAGACTATTCTATAGTCCAGACTATAGACTATTCTATAGTCCAGACTATAGACTATTCTATAGTCCAGACTATAGACTATTCTATAGTCCAGACTATAGACTATTCTATAGTCCAGACTATAGACTATTCTATAGTCCAGACTATTGACTATTCTATAGTCCAGACTATAGACTATTCTATAGTCCAGACTATAGACTATTCTATAGTCCAGACTATAGACTATTCCATAGTCCAGACTATAGACTATTCTATAGTCCAGACTATAGACTATTCTATAGTCCAGACTATAGACTATTCTATAGTCCAGACTATAGACTATTCTACAGTCCAGACTATAGACTATTCTATAGTCCAGACTATAGACTATTCTATAGTCCAATCTAAATACTATTCTACAGTCCAGACTATAGACTATTCTACAGTCCAGACTATAGACTATTCTATAGTCCAGACTATAGACTATTCTAAAGTCCAGACCATAGACTATTCTAGAGTCCAGACTATAGACTCTTCTATAGTCCAGATTATAGACCATTCTATAATCCAGACTATAGATTGTTCTATAGTCCAGACTATAGCCTATTCTATAGTTCAGACTATAGACTATTCTATAATCCAGACTATAGACTATTCTATAGTTCAGACCATAGACTATTCTTAAGTCTAGAATATAGTCCAGAGTATAGGCTATTCTATAGTCTGGACTATATACTATTCGATAGTCCAGACTATAGACTATTATATTGTACAGCCTATTCTATAGTTCAGACTTTAGACTATTCTATAGTCCAGACTTTAGACTATTCTATACTTCAAACTATAGACTATTCTATAGTCCAGACTATATACTATTCTATAGTTCAGACTATGGACTATCCTATAGTCAAAACTACTCTGTAATCAAGTCTATTCGGTTTATAAATATACTGTTCTATAGTATAATATTGTAATACTTTAGTGTGTGCTATTGTAGAGCAAATAGTTCATATCTGCATCTAGCGCCTTTAAAAGTCTTGTGTTGCCTATTAGCAGATTAAACACTTCACTCAAGAAAAAGCTGAAAAAAAGCTAAATTTTCCGTTGACAGAAAGAAAAAATCCAAAAAAGACACACAAAACTTCTAATTCTACTCTCTCAATTGTCAGCAGTCGAAATACATAAACACATGCTTACTTACTCAAACTAACAAACCATTTTTTATATCCTTCTAATCATAAAGGTAGCAAGACAACAAAAAAACAGATAACTAAAAAAAAATCAAAGGATATTGCGTAATTGTCTAATAAGCGTATAAAAACTCGTGTATTTTTATATCATTTACCATTTAGCAGAGTTTGGGGTAACACATGTATACATATCCTTTTTTTATAGGAGACAAATAAACGTGTGTCGTTTTTTTTTTTCTTGCTGGTCCTTCATACTTGATGCTTGACTGACTAAACCGACAGACTAACAATTCAAGTTTTTGTTGCAAGAAATAACAAAAAAAAAAAAAAAAAAAAAAAAGGGCATAAAACCAATCATGGTTGAGTGGTAAGAATGAAAGTGCCAAACTTAAAGGAACAACAGAAACAAAAAAACTTTATTTCATTTCTTTATATATATTTTCTATAAGATTGTGCTATATTCTTTTAAGTATATAACTGTCTGTCTGTTTGTTTGACATTGTGTGTGTTTTATGCTGCCTGTCTCTTTGTTCCACACTTTAGATGTAGATATTTGTTATTTTTTTAGTAGTTTGCTGATGATTTTAAGTTGTTGCTTTGTTGTATGGGTTTTGCCTTTTGGGATTTGAATTTTTGTTGGCTTGCAACACATTTTACTTTTTTTAGGAAATTTTTTTTGAAAATTTTCTTTAAGTAAAGTTTTTTATACTACTTGTACATTTTTTGTATAACTTTTGCTGTATGATTTTTTTTGTTGTGCTGTCGTTAGGGATAATTTGGTAGTAGTTTTTTGTTATAATTTTTTTTTACTTCACATACACGTAATACCTCAATTCTACATGTTTAGGGTTTTTTGTTATATTTTGTAACAGTAGTTGAGCAAAGGCTCACTTTTGAATCAGGATTTTTTTGTGGGGTGTGCTAATGATACCAAAGTATTTAAATTTATAATGTAGGGAAAGTTTGTAAATATTAAATTTAAGATGTCAAACTTTATTTTGGTTATACTACTCCACTATAGTGGACTAGTTTAAAATTTCATGCTCTTGCTAGTTCAGATCCTCTAGACTGAATCTGTTTTCAGTACGCTTTTGGTCATTTTTGTTTTAACATTTTTTTTTGGATAATATTTTTTCCGATTTTGCTCAGTTTGTTTGAGCTAGTTCTTTTATTAGAACTGTATTATTTGAAATGATCCAAACAAATTTCGATATTAGAATGTAATATTTAAAAATATGAAAATATGAAGATAGTGCGAGATCGCGATAATATGCAAGAATTTATAATAGCCTATATGCCAAGCCTTTAAATTTTGAAATAATTGAAAGTCATAGTTTCTTGACTACGGAACTCTCTATATTTTGTCTCCTATAACACAATATAAAGTGTATTTAATATAATGTAGCCTCCTGTCTACTGTAAACCATCCCTCTTACATTTTTATTTTTTATACAATTCGTTCGTATCTCCACTGTCATATAGTCAGTTATTATTATTTATATTAT